TTTATTATAAATGCCTATAACCAGAGTGTGTTTTGCTGATCCCCATGATTGATAAACAAGGTTCTTATTCTCTTTTTCTCTTGAAAAAATGAGGTTTCATCTTTCACTGCATTGCAATGAGGTTTCATCTACTCCATTCAATCCCCAGATCTTCATTAGATTAATTGCTAAATCATTACATGGAAGTCAGAAGTCACAAAATTCATTCATCAATGGCCACTCCACCACCTATTCACTTATTCAGTTCACACCTCCTCTCTCCTCGAAGACACAAACCGTAGTAGCACATTATTAAAGGCATAACATCTTGTCCACATGAATGGCACAACAGGCAACACTCTAAACATACTCCTTTATATTATTATTCTTAATACAGAAGAAAAGAATACAACTTTCAAGAACCATACATAGACCAACTAGAGACAAAGAGATGAGATGAATTTTTTCTCTGTCAATCCAAAAATTTCTAATCCAGAAACACCCTTTCTTGTTGGGTGGTATTTCTAGATTGGAACGGGATAATAGACTAAAATGTATTGTTAGATCCTCCCATTACTCCAAGACCGTGAATCTAATGGGATCAATGTATCAAGAGCTAGGAATATATAACATTTGGCGAGAAAACTAACACTCCCATCAAAAGAAACATCAAATCTATATATGTATGCCCGTTTATTGTCATAGAAGAATAGATGCTCCCACAAAGACAGCACCATCTCAAGCAACTCTGTGTAGCGAAGCATCAGGATCTCAATTGGAGGCATCGTAAATCTTGCAATGTCAGGATACCTGGAGACATGTTTTTTTTCAAAAAAAAAATGTTAGTAACCTTTTCATGTTTATGATATGTAAATTATGAGACTTGTTGTGCCTTTAGATGATATATATACTAGCCACACGTAACACTGGTTGGTGAGGTTTACCGTTTACAAGGCACAAATCATTCACACTGCTGACTTCAATAGAACCTAACAAAAGATGTTTTGAAGAAAAATGGAACAGGTAGATATTAACCTAAAATTGATTTGCATGCATCGATTATACCCAAAAACTTAAGCTAATAAATGAGAGAGGACAATCTTATACTTCAACACCAAGGACTATAACACACAATGACATAATTATCCTAAACACACTGCAATATGAATAGCTTAACGACAGTAGTATTTGATGTTGAAAATAAGCAAAAACATAAGAAAACAATTTTTTTTTGCAATAACTGTATTAGATTATCCAACTGCTCTAGCTTAGGGCCATAAATTCGATGGATAGAGTTAAAGGGCATTCAATTGAATTGCCCATTATTTTTGTTAATTAATTAATATTTCTATTTGTTGAACACTTTCAACTTATGATCAAAGCTATGAATCAAAGATATAATGTTTAATTTTGTGTTACATCTTCTATTCGTTATACAGTTAGTAGTATATGATTCCTATATATAATCAGATATACATAAAAAGATAGAATCTAGGCTGTAAAATAAGAATAATCTCCTTTATCCTTTGCAAATTTTTTAAGACCCACACTCAAAACCCTGCCCCTGTCTAGAGCTAAGAATACAGCTGGAACAACATACAGAACATACTTATGCAACACAATGTGAAATCTAAATGTGTGATTGCCTACACACGAACAAGTCACGTCTGCCCCTAGCAACGAGCGTGGTGTGTAAGGTATGTCATAGAAGACTCATCGATAGCGTGACACATTGACGATGTCTATTGAATCTACTTTCACCTCACCTAAAAGGGACCTGTTCAGGGCGAGCAACGACAATGGGGCTATCCTAGGTCAGTCTGATCGCCTCTAGGACCTTGTGGTTTCCCGTTGCAATGAAGTAGACGGCAGCTGACAAGAAGTAAAATAGGGCAAATATAATAGTAGATGCGAAGTAGATTGATTCGGCGATTATACGTTATCACATCGATCAATCGGTTGCTACCTCTGTATATATAGGGTTGCTTGTTTTTCCTTCTCACTAGGCCGCCCGCAGATGATAGCGCCATCATTAAACAACAATTTTAGCAAGTCATCATAGGATTCCTTTCCCATGTCTGTGGTCACCCCTAGCTAGGTTAGATGGATCAAAAGTGACACCAACAAAGTCATCACACTCCATTAGCAAGCGGCTCACTTTTTGCCAGATTAACATGTCCTAGAAGGCTAGTGTATTATAATCCGCACCGTATCAACCTTGGCGAACACACACCGCACATAATCGCATTGTTTATCCGCCATAACCCGCTGCAGCCATCTCCCTGCCCAGAAAAGCTTGGGCACGCGAACGTGCTCGTGGCGCGGTGGCTACGTCTCCGGTTGAGAGCGTGCCCACCCAGGTTCGATTTCGAGTTAGGACGAACGGTGTCGCATGGGTATTTCCCTATATTTGTTTCGTGCAGGTCTTGACACTCGCATAGCGCTACAATGGGACTACGACGTGTCCGTTGTCTACGAGGCTCGTGTGGCTTTGGTGATCTACAGAAGGATATTTGAGGTATATAGGTTATAATTTCTAGCGGTGTGTGGTGGTGTGAGTGTGTTGTATAGAGTTTAGATATTACAACTTAGTTTAGGCTAAAAAAGAAAAGAAAAAGAAAAAGAAAAACTTGGGCACAGCCCGCAAATGATTAAAAGGCGGCAGGACAGGACGCCGACACTGCCCATGTGATGCTGACAGTGCAATGCTTGTACCAACAAATCCTTCGATATATATATGCCTTGTCTGTGTTTTTTATTTTAGTCTTGACCAATGCCTGGGTGCAATATAAATTGAATGAGATATTTGTTAGCTAAGTTAAAATTAAGAATATGTCAATTTAATTTTTCACGTGTATTATATCATGATAATGTCTAGAAACACATTTATTATCGTAATGAATCTGAAATAAAAGATAGGCTTGTAGCTTGTTGTCTAAAAGTTACGACAAACATCAGTTGTCTCAAAGGCTGAAAATTTATTGCTATACATCGAATTGAATTTATTCATGCTCTGCCTTGCCAAAACATGAATACTCGGACTTACAATATCCTAGCCCGCATGAGACATGACAATAATTCATTTTTTGGGGAAAAAATATTTGTTGTCAACACGTAACGCGAAGGACGACGAACGAGATTTGGATTACGATCATGGTCATTGTGTGGTGATATTCCAATAAATTTCTTTCTCTTCTCATAATTCTCTTTCCGTTTTATTCCATTTTATTTACTTGCCTTCCAGTGTCTCAATGCGGTAATTATTTGCTTGCCGGTGATTCGGTGAGTTTTATTCTATTTTATTTACTTGTCTTCCAGTGTCTCCATACGGTGATTATTTGCTTACCGGATATGGATCGCATGAGATGCGTTGATTATTTGCCTGCCGGATATGGATCGCATGAGTGTTTTGGTTCTGCCACGTAGATATTGACAATCCGTATATTTTAGTTGTAGAGATAGTTTGAGCCAAAAAATATACTCTCTCTGTCCTAAATTATCTATCGCTTTTGGTTTCGTGCCGCAAGTTTGACTCGATTTCTAAAAAATACGTGCAATATTTATATCTTCAAATAAATTTATTATAAAACTAGATCAAAGATTTTTCAATAATATCAATTATGTACCATAAATATTAATATTTTTTTAATATATATATTTTATCAAAGTTGTTTTTCAAGAAGCGAAAACGACATATATTTTGAGACGGAGAGAGTACCTACTTTACTTCGGCTACGTACGTATAGAAAGCAAACACAGCTCTCTTAGCTCGCCTGGTTAACGATTCCCAACAGAATACGTACTTTGTCACGTGTACATACTTTTTTTTGTTTTTGAGGAAGGTCACGCGTCGGAGTCGGCCCACGGGAGAAGAAACCGGGCCGCCACGGTCCACGGAGAGAGAGGAACAAGTGCCGCCGCTAGCCCGCTAGTGCCGTTTCATTCGCTTCCGCAGGCTGCAGCCGCGGTGGACACGCGACACGGGAACACCGCACACGGCTGCGTTGTGTAGCGCCAACCGGGCACAGTGGCAATTATTTCTGAAACGAATAGATAAAGTGATAAAGAATGGCACAAATATTTAGAAACGAAGGTGTGTGTCCATCAGATTTTCCTACGAACAAGATGTTTACAAATTCGATGCTGTTTAGCTGATAATTTTTGTAACTAATAAACCAGCTACAGCTATTAGCTACATATTCGTTTCGTCGTAAACGATCGTAGATTATTTACTACTGGCTAGTTTAGTATAAAAAAAAATTACTATTCCAATTTATAATCTACGATCATATATAGAAGAAGCGAACAGCCTGCAGAGCCGGAGCACTGCGGGATACTCAGAGCGGGGCCGGGTCCCCGCTGCCGTTGCCGCCGAGGCTTCAACTTCAAACGTGGTGCTAGCTGTTTCAAAAGCGTTTAATGCGTTTAATTTAGGCCTTATTTAGATTCAACTGGTAAAGGTTTGAGAGTGTCACATCGGATATTATATAGAAGTGTCGCACGTATGTTCGGATATTAATAAAAAAATAAATTATAGAATCCATCGTGAAACCACGAGACTAAATTTATTAAGCCTAATCAATCTGGCATTAGCACATGTGTATACTGTAGCTCTTATTGTCAAATTATAGACTAATTAGATTTAAAAAGATTCATCTCGTAAATTAATTGTAACTGTGTAATTAGTTATTTTTTAAGTTTATATTTAATACTTTATGTATATGTTAAATATTTGATGTGACATGATGTAAAGTTTTAGCGTGGGAACTTTGGAAATTCTTTCAAAAGCGTCTAATGATTCGAGAATCTTCCAATCCGATATCTAAATAAAGAAAAGCGAGTAGGGCCGCCGAATACGAATTTTCTTTTTGAAAGTTCCGAAAACGAATCGAAATTCGCATTCGCTGCTGCTGTTGGTGTGTGTGTGCAGAGGGACGAGAACGAAAGAGCAGCATCGACGGAGAGACCAAAGCGATCGATCATCCAGCCAACCAGCAGCCAGCCAGGGGGGAGGGAGGCCAATGGCGGCGGCGGCGCCGTCCCTGTACCGGCGGGCGCTCCCGTCGCCGCCGGCGGTGGACTTCACCTCGCCGGACGGCAAGCGCCTCTTCTCGGAGGCCCTGGAGGGCGGCACCATGGAGGGCTTCTTCGGCCTCTCCTCCTGCTTCAAGACGCAGTCAGAGCCGGCCTTCTGCGGCCTCGCCTCCCTCGCGGTCGTCCTCAACGCGCTCGCCATCGACCCGGGCCGCCGCTGGAAGGGTCCCTGGCGGTGGTTCGACGAGTCCATGCTCGACTGCTGCGAGCCCCTCGACGCGGTCAAGGCCAGGGGCATCACCTTCGGCAAGGTCGCCTGCCTCGCGCACTGCGCCGGCGCTAAGGTCCAGCCCTTCCGCGCTCACCAGGTCACCATCGATGACCTCCGACGCCACCTCGTCCGCTGCGCCTCCTCGACGGACTGCCATCTCATCGCTTCCTACAACAGGAGGCATTTCAAACAGGTGAGATCCTACCGTTCCTATGATACTTTAGATTTAGGGGATTGTTTATATATGTGTGCCATGTCCGTTGTTGCAGACCGGAACCGGGCATTTCTCCCCAATCGGTGGCTACCACGCTGGACAGGATATGGCGCTCATCTTAGATGTCGCCCGCTTCAAATACCCACCTCATTGGGTTCCACTGCCACTTCTTTGGGAAGCTATGAACACGACGGATGAATCAACTGGACTTCTCAGGGGGTATCTTCTCTTCTCTGTTTTCTACTATTGATCATTTACATTTCCTTATCCGACCTTTATCCAAAAAAAAAAGTCCTTAACTGACATTTATGCAGTTGGGATTGCTGTCTTGTTATCTAGGCTAGTATCTATTGCAACTTGGATTAAGCAAATCTAGTTAGAACTTTGGAGTGCGATTTACTGGCTATCAGGATTTAGTGGAAGCAAATATCATAGGATTAAAAAAAATGAAAAATCAGTTGCTGGTGTTTTGAGGGCTTCCTCATACGTCCTTCAGACCTTTTAGGGCTAGGCATGATGTGACGTTATAAGAACGCCTCGTTTGCTTGGTGGGTGTTTTTGTGTTTTCTATTGACCAAGAAACTATTGTAATTCGTTGTTGGCACTTGAGGTAGGTAATTGGAGGGAGGAACGTCAGGCATTTTTTTTCAGTTACAACTAGTAATTTATTATGTATTTGTAATGCTCATAGACAATGACACTTTTGTACCTGTTGTGCATGCTCTTTCGTATGCATTTAAAAAGTTGCAGTGCAATTGAGTTTTCTTCCATATGATCTTACCAGTCACTTGTAGGCCTTGCATTTAAAAAATTGGTATTTTTATTATCTGCTAGGTTCATGCTTGTGTCAAGGCACAGTGCAGATCCTTCATCGCTTTACACAGTGGTAAAAAGTGCTGATGCTCGCTCTGTTGAATGTAAGTGAACACATTTGATGTAGTGTTGTTTTGCTCATTACTTTCAGTTTCTGCAGAGTTGCAGAGATGAAAGCTGGAAAAGCATGGCAAACTATTGCGTCGAAGATTTACCTAATCTTTTGAAGACCGAGAATCTTTACAATGTTCCAACACTTTTGTCCCATTTGATTGGTTCTCTTCCAGCTAATGCTGGATCTTTTATCAAATGGGTTGTTGAAGTTAGGAGAAAAGAGGAAGGTGGGCAATGCTTAAGCAAAGAGGAGAAAGAAAGGCTTTTAGTGAAGGTCATTTTTCCATTTCATTTTATGCTGCTGGATCAAAGCTTTTGCTCCCTTACATAGCATGCCTTGCGCTCATCTGCAGGAAAATGTATTACAGCAAGTACGTGATACCAGGCTATTTATGATTGTCCATGACCTGCAATGTGCTAGTATCCAATGCGGTAATTGTTCACCATCAAGTGAAGATCCTGTTACTAGGATTGCAGCCTCTGTGTGCTGTCAAGGAGCAGCAATGCTTTCAAGGAACCTTGCATCAAGTGACGGTTTCTGCTGCAGTGAAACATGTTTCGAATGTGTTCCAGCTAATGGTGATGGGCCTAAGACTGCTATCTCAGACTTTGTGGTATCTGAAGGCAATGAACCCGGTGTTGATATGTTTTTACCAAAGTCCCATCACAGCTGGAGTTCATGCAATTCAAGCACGAGAGATGAAATCATCAAATATCCTTCAAGCGCAGATGTTTTAACTGTTCTGCTGCTGGCTTTGCATCCTGGCACATGGTCGGGCATCATAGATGAGAGGCTGAAAGCTGAATTTCAGACCCTTGTTTCAACAGATGATCTACCTGATGTTCTTAAAAGGGAGGTGTGTTGTCACAATCCAAGCAATCCCTATTTGTCTACTTTTGCACCCTAGGAAAATGTTTTCGGGGTAAAGAAGATACACACATGTTTTCTTGTGGAAATTATGCCAAATTTTAGAGGTCTAGATGGTGGGGAGCTGTTTCACATCACCTTGCGGTTGATTAATCAATGGGACCACAGTGAATCAGGGGTTCTTTAGTTTATTTATGATTAAAAATACTTTCAACCTAATTTGATATAGTTATTATCACGAAGACTACTGTTTCAGACCAGCTTCCTATGTTTACAATGCACAAACATGGCAAATATTGATAAAGTTGGCACAACTGTTTCTAACAGTTTCCTAATGTATTTGGATATAGCAACATTATGTGTTCAAGACGGCATTTGGCCGCAACCCAATCCCCCAAACCCTATAGCAAAGCAAGGAGGGTGTGACCGGATCGGGGTAGGACAGATATCAACATCTCTATATCAAGCTTTGTACCAAGTAGAAGCATAGCCTTCTTAGAGGAAACTAGAAACTAGCCCAAACCCATCACTGCCATGACAAACAAAAAGACAGACACAATGGTAAACTGGGATGTAAAACAGGTATAGTTAAGCATGTTGGCATTCATAAATTTATTTTTTATTAGGTATTCACTGCACAGGGTGTGAGTGTGAGGTGTTGATGTTCTCTCTGACTCGTTAAAGTCTGATGTCTTAGAGAGCACATTGTTATCTTTAAAAAAAAAAAAATGGCTCTGGTCCTGCACCTAAGTTCCTTTCTTCTAAGGTCCAGTGCCCAGCACTCACTCGCACCATATTTAGGATACAAGTTTTCTGTGCACTGCACCTTGGCATAGAAACTGTAAGCAGTATATTTTTAGCTATGTAAAGGTCATCTCTCTCCAGAAGTAGAACGATATCACAATAACCTTTCACATGCCTTTTGCTCATTCCATGGCTTGTTCCATTATAATGTCACTGGAAACAAATTTATCATATGCTATTTTTTCCTTGTCACAATTATGAATGCTGAAAACTTTCCTTACACTAGCAGATTAGCAGGGAGAGTATCTAGTATAACTATTTATGTGCTGACAGATACTGCATCTAAGGCGGCAACTCTACTATCTAAGGGCTTGTAAAGTCGAGGAATATGAGGATCCTGTACCACCATCCCCTTAGGCCTTAGCAGTTACACTTGACGAGTTTATTTACTGGAAATCGAGGTCAAGAGAAAAGTTACAAGAGTGTGGTTTCGGGGCATCACATGAGCATGGTTCTTACAGTTCTTGGGCAAAATTGCCTACGTACCACTGATCCTGAACGTGTTTGAAAACATATTTGGGTATTGATCAATATCTTATTGATCAGTTGTGGTGCTACTCCAAGAGAGGTGATTGTTTCTTTCTCAAATAATGGTGTAGTTTTTTAATATAGTGAAACCTGGCTATGTTAATTGCTATTGTGCCAAACACTTTTCCTCTCCACTCCAAAAAAATATGAGTGTACTGTAATGATAATTCATAAAGAGAACAGTTGAGACAAATGCGGTCTAACTGTTGTACACTGAGGTGGAATATTTGTAACCTTTGGTCATACACCTTACAAATGGTTTTATCACTAGGACGTAATCACGTAAACGTTCACAGAATTCAAGTTCGTGAGTATTTGCGGGTGTTTACACCCAACAAAGTTCAAACTCACTGGTACAGTTCGTGAATCGTGATTTAAGTTTTTGTACTTTTGTGATAACGTCATCCATTTCTTAGATGTTTTCTGGCCTGCCTTCGCTGCTGAATGAAATCATGTGGTGAATCATGTACTATGTAACACCCTTGCAAAGTTTTTTTCAACATAAACAGTTACAAAATGGGAAAATTGGTTATGTAGCATCGAAAGGTTGCGACCTCCGTAAAATACTATTGAAAGATTTTGACCTCGTAAAATACCATTGAAAGTTGCCACTGTGAACTGAAAATACCATTCTGTCAGTTTTCAGTAGCTGAGCCGTTAAATGAGACCAAAATACCCCCAACTCGGTTGAACGTGAATGCATAACCCCAGCACATAGTAATAGGTTAAACCTAGCACAAATGAACAGCTGGGTCCATCCACATATTAACAGCACATATATGCAGATTCATCCAGCACAATTTGTTACCATTTAACACATACACAAGGACAATCATTCTAGCACATTAGAACTGTTATTGCAGCACATTACATTCATTGAAACACATCCATAGTTTAAAACATGCACCCAACACTTAATAAGTCTGCCAGCACACAAAAGTCTAATAACACCAATACTAGCTAGAAAATAACAGTGGCACCACACATAGGCTTTGTTCTTACAAATCCAATGCCTAGCCTATGATAAGTCGCCTCGCAATACCTCCTGGTGAGGTTTCTGCTGCTGCCCTACTCCTTGTTGTAGGCCCTGGACCGAGAGGACTATAAGTAGAAGCTGCCATTGTTGGCCCTGGACTAACAGGTGTTTGTGTGACTAAGGAAGTAGAGGCTGCTTTGAATTACTTGGTTTTCTTTCCTTTTCCTACGTAACAACAAGGTAATCAACAATTATATTTAAAAAGAATTGATATTGTACTTAAGTGATAAGAGCATAAAATTAATTTACCTAGATTTAGTAGGTACTGGTTGTGGTAATTCAACACCAAGCTTAATAGAGGGCTCACAATAACCCTTCTCAATGTGCCCGAATTGAAAACATCTTTTACATTGATAAGAACCCTTTTTCTAGGCTCACCCTTGCTCTTGATCCTTTCTCATCGGTAACCATCCTCGTACCAGGTGAAATCACACACACAAATGAACCGGATAACACAGGAACACTCGCAATTCGTAACTAATTTTAATTGTACTAAAAAACCACAAAAAAGAAGTAGATGATTTTGATAAAGGAAGGGTTTTTTTGCAAAAAAACCGGAGCTCATTCTGGACTGCGGTTGATTTGAAAATTATCTAAGGTGTTATTTACAAAATATTCTGATAGGGCCTTAGAGCTCAGGTGGAGGAGTCGTGGCCGGCGCAGCACGCAGTCGAGGAGGAGGAGGAGGCAGCGGCCGCCGGAGGCGCCGCAGTCTCGGCGTGAGGAGCGGCCCGCGACGGACGGCGTGGGTGGGGCAGCCTCCGCGCAAGGAGCAGCCTGTGGCGGACGGCGCGGCCTCCACGCGGGGAGAGGCCTGCGCGCTGGGAGCGACCGCGGCGGACGGCACAGGAGGCCCTCGGAGCTCGGCGGCCGGCGGAGGCGGAGGCGGAGCGCGGCGCGGCGCGTCGTGGCCCGTCTGTCTCCTGTGCGTGCGACTCCCTGGTGCGTGCGTCCCTTTCCTGTATATGTGGATAAGGTAAGGGCAAGAAGATCACCAAATTTTTAAAGTTTATGTCAAATTAATGTTTTTATGTGTAAAAATTGATGGATTGATATTTTTAGTTCACGGGACAAATTTCAGTGCTATTTTATAGGGACAAAATCTTTCAATGATATTTTACGGAAGTCGCAACCTTGGGTAGGCTCTCAATTCCTTGATATTAGTAGGAAATGGCATCTCGAAAGAATTGAACGAGAAGCCGTATAAGGTGAAAATCTCATGTACGGTTAACAATTTTCCCTTACAAAATTATTATCTAAAGTTCTGAGCCTTAGAAACTTGCCTCATGTCCCTCAGTGTTGCTCTGTCACTCAGTGGACTTCCTCCCCCATTTATTTATTTATTTATGCATGCCCAAATTATGCATGCATTTGACACCTGGCACAACCTTACATTTAACTGTCAACAAATTAACACGACACTCACGTTTAACTGTCAACAAATTAACTCCTCTATTTGAATAAAAGATACTCCCTCTGTTCCAAATTCAAATCACTTTTACTTTTTTGGTATATCTATTTTGCTATGCATATAGATCTAACGTATGTCTATATGTATAGCAAAATAGATGAACTAAAAAAATCAAAACGTCTTATAATTTAGAACGGAATGAGTATATGAGTCAACAATATGTAGCCATCAGAGCCATGCTTTTTTTCCCCCACAAAAATAAAAAGAAAATGCATCTCCATTTGTTTCTAGACGAAAGGAGGAGCACATAAATACATGATCCATAAAAAAAAACTGCACGATCATCATGGTTTAATTTAGTCCAGAGAACAAAAATGATGTTTTAATTTATTTTTTATTAAAACGATGACAGAAGCTCAGCCAATTTGCCAAAAAAAACTTGGAATTGGCATGTCCGTACAAACCATAGGGCAGATTTTGACACAAATTAAAATGAAAGGCACGTTCTTGTCCTATCCGTCCATGTTGCCGGAGGAATTAAAATAGGCTAATAGTATATATACTGCGTTACGCGAACATTGTATCTGTCTAACTTGCGTGTATTCATGCATGCCAATTGCCAAGTCATCATTTTGAACTGAACTTGGCAGGTTTTGCTCAGCCTTAACTCATTAACTCACACAAGCCTATGAGGGCAGCTAAGTTTTTGCTGGATATCAAACCATTTTTTGCATGATTGATAGAGTGCCGCAGTAATCCTGTGACTGTGACCCTAGAACCATGCATGTACACATCAGGGATCAGGCTCTAGCAAGTAGCAACAGCTCCCTACGCCATTGCTATGAGAGACTGACTATTCGTTCGGTGTTCAGTCTCATTCGAGGGAAGGGACCAAAGCGCTTCAGCCAACCAGCAGCCTGTTCGGTTGGCTAGTTCGTATCGTTGCTGGTTTGTGAAGAAATACTGCTGGCTGATTTGTGTGAGAGAAAAATATTGTTCCGGTTGAAAATTTACGATCGTATACGATCGTTTCACCCCAGCGGAACAGGCCGCAGGTGTCCCCATTGGGCCTGGCGTTTAACTAACGTGAGGCCAAAACATGCTCATGCATTCTAGCAGATTCCTTTCGCTGAAGAAGTGGAAAAATTCAAAACCAGATTCCAAGAATTTCAGTCACCTATCGTCTGCTTGGTGCAAAATATAATGTTCAGAGTTTGTGTGGTGTGTAGTATGTCATAGGTAATGCTGCAAAAAGAGATGACGGAACTGGACCCTTCGAAGTAGCAGTCATGCTTAGACACAAGAAGACCACTTTTGTGTACACGCAACGTACAAATTCAGAAGACCACAAATAAAACGATGGAACACAGAGAAGGACAGGTTGGTACCAGTTGCATGATCGAGCCCAGATGGCACCAGACTTTGGATCAACGATGGCCAAACTGTACAAGAACGTACATATATACACATGCGTACTCGCCAAACTGTTGTTCCAAGAAAACCTAACATCTTTTTATAGAAGAAGCATCAGAGACACATGGCCAGCTGATGGCCACAAGCATCGCAGCTCTAGATATCTGACATGTTGTAACTCGGAAGCTGCTGCTACACTACACATCATACCATAATCAGTTGCCCACGTGGCGGTTCGCCAATTTCATGTCCTCTGGATGAAACCAATCATAGATGCAAATGGAATGACATCTCAAATAATTGATCCACGGTTTCCATCACGAAAGACACATGCAATAACTGAGTAGAAAGGCCAGCGTAACATTGCTAGCTGCTGCACTCGGCAGTCACAGTCAGTCAGCCAGTACCGAGCAGGGATCGAGATCCTACAAATAGCACTCAGAACCACAGCCATCCAACACAAACACCAAGCCGCCTATTATTAGCCACCTACCAGTGAGCCGATCCATCTGAAAGGAAGAGCAAATCCTGGCCTCATGTCACAGGGAAAGCTCTGACCACCACAAGAGACTGATTCCTGGCCTCCTTTTCTCCTCCCCGTTGGAGGAGGATCCTGAGCACTCACATCAGTCGTGTGTGTTAGTTTCCTCCTATCACAGCGCCCGCTCTGTCGCCCTTCACCTCTCCTTCCTCTCCTCCCTGTGTGCCAGGGAGAGAGGAAGTAAGAGGCACGAAGTGGCGCAGAGTAGACGCTCGTGAACCATTGTAGCTGTCGTCGTCAACAAATCCGAAAGGATGGAGAAGAAGCCAACCATCCTCATGAACAGGTACGAGCTCGGGCGCATGCTCGGGCAGGGCACCTTCGCCAAGGTGTACCATGGCCGGAACCTCGCGTCCAGCCAGAGCGTGGCCATCAAGGTCATCGACAAGGAGAAGGTGCTGCGCGTCGGCATGATCGACCAGATCAAGCGGGAGATCTCCGTGATGCGCCTCGTCCGCCACCCCAACGTCGTGCAGCTGCACGAGGTGATGGCCAGCAAGAGCAAGATATACTTCGCCATGGAGTACGTCCGGGGCGGCGAGCTCTTCACCCGCGTCGCCCGGGGCCGGCTCAAGGAGGACAGCGCAAGGAGGTACTTCCACCAGCTCATCGGCGCCGTCGACTTCTGCCACAGCCGCGGCGTCTACCACCGGGACCTCAAGCCGGAGAACCTCCTCGTCGACGAGCACGGCAACCTCAAGGTCTCCGACTTCGGCCTCAGCGCCCTCAAGGAGTGCCAGAAGCAGGACGGGCTGCTGCACACCACCTGCGGCACGCCTGCGTACGTTGCGCCGGAGATCATCAACAAGAAGGGCTACGACGGAGCCAAGGCCGACATCTGGTCCTGCGGCGTCATCCTCTTCGTCCTTCTCGCCGGCTACCTCCCATTCCATGACGCCAATCTCATGGAGATGTACCGCAGGATCAGCAGGGGTGACGTCAAGTACCCGCAGTGGTTCTCCTCTGATCTGCGGCGGTTCATGTCCAAGCTCCTCGATCCGAACCCAAACACCAGGATCACCATCGAGAAGCTGGTCGAGCACCCGTGGTTCAAGAAGGGGTACAAGCCGGCTGTCATGCTGGCACAGCCGCACGGCTCCAACAGCCTCAAGGATGTTCAGGTTGCCTTCAGCACCGCCGACAATGAAGACGGCAGCAAGGTGGAACAGCCGGCGGGAAGCTCCTTGAAGCCGACGAGCCTGAACGCGTTCGACATCATCTCCCACTCCAGAGGATTTGATCTGTCAGGCCTGTTCGAGGTGGACCAAGAGCAGAAGGCCAGCAACTCACGGTTCATGACCCAGAAGCCGGCGTCAGCGATAGTGTCAAAGCTGGAGCAGATTGCTGAGACAGAGCGCTTCATGGTGAAGAAACAGGACGGCCTGGTGAAGCTGCAGGGGTCCAAAGAAGGGAGGAAGGGGCAGCTTGCGATCGACGCCGAGATCTTCGAGGTGACACCGGCCTTTTATGTCGTCGAGGTGAAGAAGTCGGCAGGCGACACGTTGGAGTACGAGAGGTTCTGCAACAAGGGCCTAAGACCTTCACTCAATGACATCTGCTGGAGCAGCCAATCAGAGGAGAAGCTGACTCCTTCAGTGGTTCAGTCATCACCATTGAAGCCATCCTCTTAGTCGATCGTAATTTAAGTGCAATCTCTTCGAAGATGCGATTACAATCCATCCTCTCCCTTGCTCGATTGAGCATCAGGCTGTAGGGCTCTTTGTGATCCTTTTTGCCAGTTTTCTTCTTGTAGTAGCAGTTGTTCAGCATGGAACTCCTGTTCCTTTCACCAATAGAAGCACGATGATCAGCACTGCCATCATTTTTCCTGTTGCTCTGCTTTGGGACAGAACTACTATTTGCCTTTAGAAAAATATCACTGAGGAAAGTACGAAACTTAAAGGGTAAGAAAACAAATAATAAATGGATAACGCGAATGAAATGTTACAGGTGCCATAAACAAGGGTAATTAAGCAGATTTCATAAGAAAATAAACAAATCTGCTGTGCAGAAAATTGCAGAACTGATTCCTCGTAATAATAACATATTTCTGGGTGCAATATTGTCAGCAAGGCATGCCCTATACTCACTACGATGTTCAAATTAAAATGTGGATACATTCTGCGTGAAGAAAATAATCTCAATGGAAGGATTTTGGACAAATTTTGTGTGCTTGAAATTATCAGGTATATATCATAGCAGATTTAGTAGAATAAAAACATATAACGAATAGTGCAATCAGTTTCATATCAAGCTACCAGGAGAAACTAAACACCCCCTCTCGATCTCACGACTGTACATAGATGCACCACCACATATGGATACCTCTTGCCAGACTATTCAGATTAAACTCATTGAAGAAATGGTTGATGATAAGCTTTTATAGCCTTATAAGTGATCAGACAATATAAAACATAAAAGGTGTATATCACCAAGGAATCAGAAACTATTGGCTTGTATGTAGATGCAAAATGTGACATCAGATTCTTGCAGTACTAAGTCAGCATTTTATGTGATAGACAATGAAGCAGAGAATGAGGTGGTACTTCTAGATAACACACAGGCAATGTTATTACAGAGATGAAATCAAGGTAGATAATACAAATGCTATGCCAAAACAAATGAGCACTGTGCCTTTGTTACACAAACATTTGCAATTCAACATCTATTAATAGGATGTGCTGCCCATTACCATTGTCTCATATTGACCCTACTTGCTGAATGAAGCTAACAAAACAAGGATCTTGGAAGTATCTAAATGAAAACCATTCTTTGTCCAAGATGAAAAACAAGCTTTATTTTTTCCAATAACTAAATGAAAATATTCGTTGTTCTCCAATATAAGATCAACTCAATGAATCTATAAATCACGATTACCTGTTTACTTGACAAAGTTACTGATGGTGAAAAATGTCGCTTTTTCCACTATCACAGAATTTGTTAAAGATAAGCAGAGGAGTATAGGTAAAAGGACCTTCAGTATGCTGCATAAATCTGAACCAATGACATCATGTGGAATGTTTGGAAAGAAAGAAACCACCGGATCTTCCAAAGTGAAAGCCTCTCATCAGGATCAGATGATGTTGCAGCACAGGCTAAAGAAGACATCAACCAAAGGAGACATAATTTTATTCAGAAACAGCCTGTTTGCTTCTCTCGAACCCTTTTTTTTCTAGTATGGTGTGCATTACATTTGAGCAAGTGAGTTGTAATTGTCTTGTTGTGGTTGGACGTCTGTACGAATCACACAGCCTGAACTCTATTTTTTGCCCATTTCTCTCAAAGAAAATCTGCATTTAATTGGAAGTTTGGGGAAAAAACAGCAGGCAGCAGCTTCTAAGAAGTAAGAACTAAACCTTATCTGAAACACCAATTCAATCAACACATTACCTCAATTATTACTTGTAAACTACCTAGCTCTATAGCATCTAGCAACCTATCATCTTATACAGACTACAGAAACATATTTCATACCTCAATTATAAGTGCTAAACTACTTCCTTCCTGATTCTCCCCAATTGACATAGCAACCCATAAGATCACAATACCAAACAAAACTACACTGTGGCTCTCTCTTCGCAGAATTAGCAAAAGGCAACGCACCATGGTCACGGATACTCAGCTAACAAAAGTGCGATAACAACACTAAGCATCATAGAGAAATGAAGTACTAGTAACAAAATTCAAGACAGTAGCACCATGATCACGAGACAGGAAATGAAGGATTATTATTGATGATTCATGTCAAGACAAACACGATACATGTGACAAAAACATCAGAAACAAAAGATAATATCTATTTCCGCTCTGGCGAGCAACATCCCGAGAACCCTAACCGACGAAGAGAGACTCCGCAATCAGGGCTTCGCGGCGGCGGTTGCAGGAGCGGGCTCGGCGGCCGCGGCAGCAGCCAACGCCGATTCGGCGGCGGCGACGGCGTCGGAGGACTCCTTCTTGTGCTCGTAGTCGCGATAGGTGTTGATGGCCTTGGTGCAGATGACTGGGGAGGAGAAACGAGAGGCGTCAGGTCAGGGGGCGAAGCGCACGAGAGGAGCGGGCACGCGTGCACGAGCTGTAGGGGTGAAGGTACCTCCGGCGCCGACGAAGTAGAGGAAGCGGAGGAGCTTGCTTGAAGCCTCGCCGGCGGCGGCGGCCATGGCGGTGGGGAGATCGCCGGAGTCGGGGTCGGGGAAAAGTGCCGGCTGTCAGGGGCTCGCTGGGCTGCGTTCACCGGCTCTGTTTCACTGGGCTGCGTGGTCGATGGGACTGACATGCTCTGGTAACATGCGGGCTTTTGACTCCTGATGGGCCCAGGTGGGCTGTGAAGTCAAGCGAAAGCGTCCTTTATGGGCCTTAAAAGAGCTATAGGATTCATATGTTTATTTTAAGTTCACATCTAATCATGGACCTGTTACACTTTGAATAAACCCAAATAATCATTTCGAGATATTCATAGCAATATAGAGAAAGTTGCGCTCTATCTTTATCTTTAAACACAGCTCATGATTCCTCACTGAAACAGCTGAACAGCTGAACTATCACAGATACAGAGTACTGATTAGCGCATGCAAACTTCGTATTATATCCAGCATGACACTAGTCACCACTCACCAGTCGTTCCAGAAGTAGCTAGTGGCACCCAAGGGCACCGTACGGGCCCCACACGCACACCTAAGTTCTGTTCGTTTGGGCTTGTTTGGCTGATAAGCCATTATTGAAAGTACCGTTGGCTGATTTTGTGTGAGAGAAAAATACTGTTGGTTGACTGAAAAAATACAGCTTATAAGACAAACAAGCCTAAACGAACATGACGCTAATCTTACCCTCTTGGTAGACCAACGTTTTATTATACTTACGAGGTCTTCAGCAGATCAAATGTCTGACCTCTAGTTTGGACCCTACGCATCTTTTGCATATATATATATATGCACACCTGTTCTGTCTAGGATCTCGGTCTCCCACGGCTTCCGTGACCCAGTTCTCCTCCTGCGACGACGTGGGCGAATGCCGTCGAGTTCCTGCGTCAAATAAAGATAAAGATAGTGAAAGAATTGAAGCAAAACACTGTCAGACTTTTCATTGCGATGATAACAATAGCTTATTATTGGTAGCGTCGCACTCTTAATGAATTGTTTTGTGGATTATTTGAAAGGACAGGGCAGTAATAAGGCTGTGGTTGGTTTGCCAGAGTCGTTCAACGACCAAGTGTCCCGTTTCTGTGGATGAAATTAAAGCTCTTCAGAGTTTCATGTTTATGGTTGGCATTGATCCAAACATACGTAGAAAATCGAGGGATCTTTGGTGCACCTAATAGTTACCATAAACTGGAATGCATGTTTTTTTAATCGAGAATGACAGAAGCTTTACCTAGTTCAAAACACACAAAACTGAATCCTCCAACAGCAGTATATATCATTGTTTTTTTTTTCCTTGTATGTTTTTAATCCTGCAGAATGTTGTAATCATGAATGAAATATACGATCTGTGAGACATTTTGAGAAAAAAAAGGAAATACGCCAGGGTAGTTTTGCCAAAGCAATTTTGTTAACACTTTTGCAATTAGCACATTGGTAACAACAACCGACCCCCAGTCTCTTTCAAACAGCGTACAGCTAATTCTGACCGATTGAAGAACGCACGTACTTTCTGGAGCTGTTATGAACTGTCCGTCTGCTACATAGTAGTCGCCTCCGTGTATCTTGGTCTTAATCTTCTGGTTGTATGTCAAATCACCTGTACAATCGTTTTCTTGTGCATTGCATGGTCCTATTGCAAGGCAGCGAATTAAGGGGATGTTTGAAACTTTAGCCGCTGTCTCATTAGATGTTTGGACACATGTATCGAGTATTAAATCCGTCCATCCTCATGGAGTACTCGGCAAGCCGGCAGGACAGACTTCTCACAACATAGAGTAGATGATGAACCACGCTTGTCCAGTCAGTTTTGTGGTTGCAGTTGCAGCCGATCTACTTCCTCAGAGCACTCAAACCTCCTGAAGACATCCTTGAGGAACCCAACGTCAAACATCGTTGTTTCCTGTGGATGGGCGGCACACGCTTATCTGGAGGGAAATGCAAAGTGACTTAGAGACAGTACGGCGCATCGGCCAACAAAATACAAATTTTGGTGCTCTGGGAGTGCTACGTATATTTATAAATTTTCAAGGGACTCCGTTTGCTATATGACAATCATGAAGGTATGAAAACAAACCTTGGTTAGGGTGGAGATCCCTTGCAACAGCACTGATAGGAGCAACCAAAATTACGATTGGAAACAGGGCAAAGTCCATGTTTTGGCACTCCGCGTGGTTCGATGGGATCTATCACTACACCAAAACGGAAAATCTTGAGGGTTTGAAAACCAAGAAAATGGTCAAAAAAAAGTTTTAAACCTCAGAAGAAATCTCGTGCCCACCAAGATTCAAACTCATAACCCCCAACCCTCACGAGTTGCTTCCTTACCACTCTTGGAACTCAAGGTTGGCCTAATCAACAGGGGTGACACCATCTACCGTCATTCACTTACTTGCACATTACAGCTAAAACTTGTGAATTTGCCGGACAGGTGGCAACCTCCTATCCACCTCTCAGTGGGGCAACCATCATTCTACTAATCAATGGTGGCGAACAATGAGCAGGACGTCGGGGTTGTCGGCAAAGGAAGGACGTCGGGGTTGTCGGCAAAGAAAATGTGCACACTAACCATTCTAGTAGCCTGAGAGATCTGGAAAGTGAGAAATACAAGATTTTTTGATCTTTAGGACACCACGGTGGCAGCACTTATTGGTAAGATAAAGGAAAAGACAAGACTCTAGTGTGCGGCAGGAGCCAAAAAAAACTTAGCGATCGATGTCATCTTCGTCAACTGAGGGCATAGCTTTGAGCTTTTGATGTTTGTTTTTATACTTGATTTCACCTTTCTATGGTGCTTCTTAACCCCTCCTAATATCAATATAAGTTCGACATATCTTCTGTCGCCCGCTTAAAAAACTGAATTAAATAACATTGTAGTTTTAGACTTTTGGTCCAGCAAATGAATGAATAAATAACACCAATTGGTAGTGTTTTTCTTCTAAGTTACAGAACTTTGACACATCAACAAATCTCACAAAAACAGTTGCAACAAAACAAATCCCCAACCTATTACATAGTCCGTATTTGTATTAGATATTAGTAGCACACAAAAATTACATTTCTTTTGACCTTTCATCCTTTTATATACGTATATCCAACAGTGCTGTCATGTATGGATGCTCCCAAATACCATCCGCAAGACTACACTGCAAAAACAAAATGTGTCCTGGTGTATCACCGTATATACGTATAAAGCAACCAACCCCTTTCACGCTTACGTACGTACAATTCCCTTCTGCATGTATTTGTATTTTGTGTATATATAGGCGTATAATAACCAGATATATATACGCGGCAATAATGGACGACGACGACGAACGTGCGTGCATGCGCATGCGTTGATGCGCCGGCCACGATCACACAGACACAGCTCATCATAGGCTCCGAGAGCGCTCGCCGGACTGAAGCCGTGTCGGCTCGTCGCAGACGAGGTCGCCCAGGCTGGGCTTCAGCTGCGCGCGGAAGAACTCCTCGTACTCGGCGGCGCCGCCGGACTTGCGGCGAACCTCCACCACCAGCAGCTCCGGCGTGAGCTCGTAGATCTCGGCGGCCACGGCCAGCGCGCCGTGCTCGCCCTCCCGCGTCCCCTCCATGCTGATCGATCCGTCGTCCCTCTCGCGCACCACCATGCCGGCCGCCGACGCGGCCCCCTCCAGCGTGGCCAGGATCTGCTCCACGGGAGCCGCCGACACGAACCGCGCCGCCGCCGGGTGCGGCGGCTGCTCCGGGACACCGCCCCCTTCGCCGTCCTCGAACAGGCCCGAGAGGTCGAACCCCCTCGAGAACGAGATGATGTCGAACGCGTTCAGGCTCGACCGCCGCCGGCTGCTCCCGCCGAGCCCGCTTCGCGATTCCAGCTGCAGCAGCGACGGCGCCGACGCGCACGACGTCAGCCCGGCGGCACTACCCTTTCTCGGCTTCCTGGGAGCGGCGTCCTCCCGTGGCGTGTCGGGCTCGGGCGGCGAGGTGGACGCGTCGACGCCGTCGTCGTCCAGGTCGAAGCAGGTGAAGGAGCGGTCGTCCTCGATACGGAAGGAGAAGCGGCGGAAGCCGACCTTGAACCACTCGTCGTCCATGATCTCGTCGGCGGTGGCGCGGCGCTGCGGGTTGGTGTCGAGGACGCGGCGCAGGAGGCGGGTGAGCTCCGGCGAGAACCACTTGGGGCAGCGGAACTCGCCCCTGTGGATCTTGCGGTACATGGCCACGAGGTTGCGGTCCTGGAACGGGAGGTATCCGGCGGCGAGCACGAAGAGCACGACGCCGCAGGACCAGAGGTCGGCCTTGGCGGCGTCGTAGCCGCGGCGGGAGAGCACCTCCGGCGCGACGTAGGCCGGGGTGCCGCAGAAGGTGTGGAACAGCCCGTCGTGGCGCATCTGGTCGGCCACCGCGGAGAGGCCGAAGTCGGAGACCTTGAGGTCGCCGTCGTCGTCGAGGAGGAGGTTCTCGGGCTTGATGTCCCGGTGGTACACCCCGCGCGCGTGGCAGAAGGCGACGGAGGACACCAGCTGCTGGAAGTAGCACCGGGCGTCGGCCTCCCGGAGCCGGCCCCGCGCGACGCGCGCGAACAGCTCGCCGCCGCGCACGTACTCCATCACGAAGTAGATGCGCAGCTTGGTGGCCATCACCTCGTAGAGCTGCACGATGTGCGGGTGGCGCACCCGCCGGAGCACGGCGATCTCGCGCTTGATGTGCTCCATCAGACCGGACTTGAAGATCTTCTCCTTCTCCATCACCTTGATGGCCACCTCCTCGCCCGTGCGCACGTTGCGCGCGTGGTACACCTTGGCGAAGTTGCCCTGCCCCAGCAGCTTCCCCACCTCGTACCGCCCCAGGAGGAGCGCCGGCTTCTTGGACTCCCGCCCACCGCCGCCGCCGCTGCCATTGCTTCCTCCCTTGCCTACCATCGTCCTCACCATTGACGGTCGACCCACCAGCAAGAGCTCACTAGCTAGGCTAGCTGCTGCGGCAACGATCGCCGGAGATAGATAGATGACGTGTACCAGAGAGAAACGGAGGGAGGAAGGGAGAATATGATCAATGAAGTTGAGGTGGCCATATATAGAGAGTGTGCTCTTAAGAAAAGTTTGACTTTTTGGGGGATCTTCTATTGTCTGCTTTCTTTTCATAATTTGAATTTTTCTCGAGAAAATTTAAGCATTTTTTGGTACAGGTGTCATGTGATGGGAGAGCACTAGTAGACTAGTAGTTCAGTCATTGCTGACTCGGATCTCTCCAACGCCGTTCGATGTGGATTGTGATGCTATCTGGGCCGTTGGTTCTGGGTAAGGCTAGCTGCTGTTGTGCTCTTCTTGGTCGGTGATCTGGTGAAGGTGTCTTCTCTTTTCTGCACATTTGCATTTTCTGTCATGACACGGATGGAAAATGATTTTTCATCTAATTTGGTTTGACATTTCTGTGTTTTTTATACTAGTTGGAAATGGTACGGAAAAAAGGTCGGTGCACGGTGACAGTTAAGCGTTTCACAGGTGATTTGTTGCTATCCTCCACGCACGCAGGAAAAGGTTGGTGGGAAACAAGTTAAGTTTATTCGCTCTATATTCTACTCCAAAATGTTCTGGTGCAGATTGAGATGCTGCTGCCACCTGTATGTCCTCATGGCCATCAACTTCTTTTCAAGGACTGCGATTTTATCATAAAAAATATAGGTGAGCAGAAAATGTCAATTAGCTCTTGATATTAAAAAAAAGGTAAATAGAAATTACTCCTGATGAAAACAAAATGTTAGTTTTTTTTGTTTGTTTGTGTGCGCCTGAAAACAGAAGGGACAGTGTGTAGAAGTGTTAAAGGATGGGTGTCGTCAGAAGTTACCATTTTTTTTCTTTTTTCCAGAGTTGAACAAGAAGAGCCCTCTTCGTTGTCCCAAGGTTATTGGTCTCCAAGAAACAAACAAGATGAATGTATGTTCTAGAATCTGGAATCAACCTTCCACATCACGAGGGGGCACTTATTTTGCGTCCAAAGTCCAAACACAAATGTTTAACCCCTCTGCCTCGATTTTGCCAGAAGAACTGTAACCCTCTATGCTTCGTAGAGACATTAAGTACTTTTCCACAGTGCAATTGCCTCCATTTATTTAGTTTGTTCAAAGATGCATGCATTGCACGACGAAATGTTCATGACAGAAAAGAAAGAGAAAAAGAAAATAATTTTGATTGATGTGATGACTAAGTATTGGAATAAAGAATACCCTGGAAACATTCAATAATGGGGTAAGAACTTTTAAAATGTTGTGGATAGTAAGGATTAGGGAAGGAGGAATGTGATGCCCAGGATTCAGTGTTACACGCACTACTACAGAATGGACTTGTTGTCCCGGGCGGTAACAGCCTTTAGTCCCGGTTACCGCGCCGGGACAACGATCCCGGGACTAAAGGTGGAACCTTCAGTCCTGGGTCATCGAGCCGGAACTAAAGAGGGACCTTTAGTCCCGGTTGGTAACACCAACCGGGACTAAAGACCCTCCAGCCGAGCAAACCTGGCGCACCCTTTAGTCCCGGTTGGTAACCCCAACCGGGACTAAAGGTTCCTTTTCTTTTTCTTTTTTTTTGTTTAATTTGTTTTCAGTTCGGTTACACGTATTTGTTTAATATATAATATATTTTTATGTACGTATTCTACGCTGCTAATATAAATACACGCATGCGTATAATTACATCTAATTCTCATCTTGAGCATTATTATATTCGAATAAAGTATGAAACTATATATATTATAGATATATATATATATGTATATATACAACACTTTCATAATCTTGTTCTCGAAAATAACGATATCAATAAACATTTAATTTACATCATTTATTTCTTAGGATCAAAGTAGAACTCGCCGTTGGGATTTAGCACTTTTTCTACAAGATATCCTGCTATTGACTCTTGAACTGCTTTCAGATGGTCTTTTTGCATGACCCTTCGTTTCAACCATTCAGTCTTGCATTTGAAATAAAAGGAAAAGTATTAATACACATATATGTATATATATTCATTTAAAAATAAATAAAATTGATATATCACGCATTCGAGGACATCTTGAGGAGTTCTTCTTATGTGCGCTAAGATGATAAATTCACAAACGTAGTATCCACACAAGTTATTACCGGTTCGCCGCCAAAACACCATCGCACACGAGAAGAAGATTATTCTCATCATCTCACACGTAAATTGAAGTACGATATAGTAATTAAACACCGGGGAAGTGTATATAGTACAACTTATCTGGTATTTCAACTACATTAAGTGGTGCCTTGCAATCCTTGCGATGTTGCCGAATAAACTCTTTCCAAACCACCGTGCGACCAATAATGTACGATCGTTAATAAATTATGGCAAAGTCTATTCAATAATAGTTGTGCGCGAGAGATCGAAATTACCACGGATAATGTCTATCATATCTTGGTATAGTGCCCGTTCTTTTCTCAACGAGTCAAAGATTAGTAACCGACTTGAGTTTAACTTAATAACAATGAGTATCCAGTGAAAACTCGCATTGGTTTTATACACACACGTACATGCATATAAGTTGTATTGATATTACATAAAATGTGTAGACTACATTATTATTAACACTTACTCAAAGTTGTGCGGGAAAAGTATTGTTGTCTTGTCGTCGGTCGCTTCACGAAGAACATCATGATATTCTCCGTGCTTCAGATACTCATCGCTCCTTGACAATAATACCGGGTTTTGAATACGATATAAGGATCAATGAAGCCAACATTGGTGTCTTGTATTCTTTGGAGCTCGACATCCGGAATCAGATATAAATATAAGTTACATGTGAGGATAATTATATACACGCACGCATGGAAGTGAGTTTATTAAATAAAAGTAAGAATCACTTACAAACAAAAGGAGCTAATGATTGATTTGTCCAGAGCGTCCATGTGGTATAGTTGATGCAATTCTTTGAAACTAATATGTAAGATGTCATCACCACGGAAGTAATGATGGTCTCTAAATCGACAAAGATCCAATGCTCACCCACGCCACGCCTTTGCATGTACCACTTGTTGAGCAAGTACATTTGCGCACCCAATTCATTCGAGAGCATGAGGTTGTGCTGGACTTTTGCCATATTTATAAGTCTTCCGGTATCAACTTCCGTGTTCGGATTGGAGCTTTGCCATCAATTGATCCAAGGTTAAACCAGTATCTTAAAAAAAAGCATTAAGGGCTTGAACCGACACTTCTCCGAGTTATCCGGTCGATAGACTTCTATGTTGGAACCATATTGATTAGCAACAACAAGATTTTGCATTGGTTGCTTTCGTTGTCCAGAAATTTGTGGGACATCCTTCCACGATGCTCTTTTCCTTTTCTTATCTCGCATCATGTGACTTCACGAGAGAGCGGTCATAGTACGATAGTGACGAAGGCTTACGAAGTTCAATCATCTTTTCTTGTGAGCATCGACCTTCTGCCTCAACACATCTCGTGGTATGTAAAAGTACGGCTTCTCCTTAAGCTTCGCTTGACTCTTGTTTTTTATATCTATAAAAAAATCTTTCACTTTTTTGTCTTCTTCAAATTGCTATTTGCTCATCGGTCTTTTTTCAGAAGTATTTCTTGAGAAATAACTCTTTTCTCGGGGTCTTCTTTGTCACGGGACCTTAGACGTCTTTGTAGAAAAGCGTCATTTGTGGAGGGGTGGGGCGGTGTTGGAGACCGGCGTGGAGGCGATGAGGCGGTGTTGGTGGAGACCGGCGTGGAGGCGTTGGAGATCGCCAGGAGGCGGTGGGGCGGTGTAGGAGTTGGAGATCGTTGTGGAGGCGATGGGGCGGTGTAGGAGTTGGCGATCGCCGTGGGGATGAAGTCGTCTCGCCCCCACGACATTTGTGATGAGATGGGGAATGAATGATTAGGCTAGGGTGGGGAGACCCTGCTACAAAAAACAAGTTGTGTGTCAATTATTTTTGAAGCCAATAGAAAATTAATGGAAAATAATATTTCATTCACTTTCATTCGTACCTAGGGTGAGGTAGGGGAAGCGGTGGCGCCCAGAATGATGATGAAGCGTTTGCGCCATTGAATAAATGTCTTCTCCGCTTCTCCTAGTGTCTTCTCCCCATCACCGCCTTCAATGTCAAGAGGAACATTGTTTGTAACCTTTGAGCACTCTATCGACCGAGACGCTAGCATATCCAAAGTTGAATAAGCTGACCCATGGATTCTTGGTGTCTTCGCTCGGTCTATTGGAGATACAACCCCGATACCACCATGATTGATGCATTATTACCATCCGGAATGTGCAGCTCATATGTTGTTAGAGGCTCGGTAATGTCATCAACAGGAAGCGCAACCCAGCGTCGTCTTGAATAATCGGCAGCTCCAGAGAAGCACAACCGCTTTTCATCGACCAACGGGCTAATGGTGACTCGGCGTTGATTGCGATTGCATTTGACTCATTGCTAGTTGTGACTTGCCTCTTGATCTCCTCCTGCATTCTTGCCTCAAGAGATTTTTTTCTCGTTCACGTGATTCAAGCAATGCTTGTCGTGACTCATCAACAAATTGCTCCAAGATTCGCCTCCTCATCCTTCTTTCTCTCGACGGCTTTCAGAGGTATCCTTGTCTGCTGGGAATGCGTGTAGCCATGGAACCGCCCCATAGCCTCTTGTTCGACCACCGTGTTCGGGATTCTCTAGGGCATATGCCATTTCATCCTTCTCTCTGTTGGGCTTGAAAACACCACTATCAGCTTCTTCCCTAGCACGAGCTAGTCTCTGTGTTGCTCTCTCAAATTTTTGGCCGAAAATTAGCTTGCCAGTGTCTGGGTCTAGGCTTCCCCCATGAGCGTAGAACCAATTCTTCGCGCGTTGAGGCCAGTTCTTCTCTATTGTTTTAGGTATGATTTCCTTGGCAGTAATCTCTGCTTCTAGGTTCTGCCACTTGGGAAT